ACATGAAATAGATACAAATAACAGCATTCAGATCCACAATCCATGGATCATTATGTTTCCCATATTGTGTTAATAAAAGGTGAAATGTTGCAAGAATTGGACACAAATTTAATGTGAATGATATAGGAATTAAAACAATTCCTATACACCTTTGTCTTAGTAAATGAACTTCTCTTTCAATTAGAGTAGCATTTTTTAAATCAAAATTATGGTCAGATTCATTATGATGAGCAACTAATGCATTGAGTGTGTTATTTTGTAAAAGATCCCTTTTGTGTTCATATAATTTTTAAATCTTTTAAATTCATCAAGGTATTTCCTATGTATTTTTTGTGGCAATCATTACAGGTGATAGACTAAATTCCTCCTTCAAGTTTTAGCCTATTATTATTTTGTTTTATATTAAATCTTTTATTGTTTTAGAAGTAGTCTTTCCAAAAGTAGTTGTGATAGAGTTGGTGGGTAGAATAGTATATTTTCATTCTTTAGGTTTGTCAGAATGGTCCACTCTTCTATTTTGAAGTATTTTATGAGCTTTTTGTTTCATATTAAAGTATGGGAGGAGTTTAACAGTATTTTCAGTGTATTTCTCCTCTTTATATTTATATATATATATATATATATATATATATATATATATTGAGAGCTACAAATTTTGAGTGCTCTTAAATAGAATCCAATAGTTATCAGATTTTATATTGTTGTTATGCTGAGAATAGAAATTTATGAGATCAATTTAATTAGTTGATTGACTATGGACACTTAGTTTTAGGTAATTGTCAGTATGGTGAAATATAATATCTAGGAAAAGTAAGTGTTATTTGTTTCTGTTTCATAAGTGAATTCTATCATATATTTGACTTTGTTTAGTTTATTGTAATAGAGTAACAACACTAAGTAGAAGCTTATGAATCTTTATTAGACTACTTCAGCTTTTAGCACTGAAAACATTATATTTAGTATAATGAATAGTTTCAAGCAAGAGGCGAGATGGGATGTGCTTATTTTATCACCATATTTATTTACAAGGTCAGCTAATGTAGTTTTGTGGAGATATATTAATAGAATGTCATCAATATATCAGAAATAGGTTGTGTTTTGATAAGGACCAAATTCAAGAAATTCTAAGAAAATGCAAGCTAAAATATCTTTTGAATATCTGTCAAAACTGCTGATTTCTTAAGACAAAAGATGGTGTCTGAACATTTTGTTCTCTCTATTGTTTTGTTACACCTATAGGCAATAATAGGAGCCAATGCAGAAAAAGTCAAGTAATCTAGAGAGAGGTATCTGGCTTAACTATGTTACATTCAAGTTGCCTTCTCGTCTTCTTCTATTCAATATCGTAGGCAATAATAGCAGGCAATGTAAATAAATCTTAATTTCAATCACCACTTGAATGCTCACAATATACATCCAATCAATAGCCATAAAACATTCCATTTCTACACACTGCTTCCTTAAAACATATTTTATTTTGCAATAAAACTTAAAATGTTATCTGCTAGGATCTCTTACAGACAAAATTTCCTGAGAAAAGATCTAAGAAAAACATCATATTTGATTTTGTTGTTAATGTTGTTGTTAATATTAATATGGGCATGTGACCAAATGGTTAGAACATTACCATTCTAACCATTAGACACAGGTTCAAATCTCATCATGGTTGGTTTGTCAGGAAGGAGACTTCCTGATGTTATCAGACTGGAGGGGTCAATTTTAGTATGTGGTACCATTGGAAAGTCCTCAAGAACCATATCATAGGTTGACCCATGGCTTTTGATTGAAATTGTGTAGACGGTACCCTTGGATGTCATTGATAGCTGTGCTAGAACAAAGTCAAAAGTCATCGTGGCTGAGGGCTTGGGCATGCTGGCCTTGTTCAAATTGTTGATCATACTAGATAACACACTTTTTCCCAGAAACTGTAACTAAGGCCTTCTTGGCATAGTTACAGTATAAACCACAGGTTGGCTTGTGGGTGTTGAATAAACATAAATGCATGTGAGCAAGTGTCTGCAATAGGGATTGGCTAGCCACCCTAGTAGACAGGTATCGCTGAATACGATTAGCCAGCTATAATATTATTTATATTATTATTAAAATGAATTCCATTCAAATAATTCCACCCTTCTTCGATCATGTCTCTCCACTACTTCCTGTCTTTTTTGCTCTAGGTAACTTTTAATCTTTTATCATCCCTCTTTGTATATGTTATGCCATCAATTCAGTTGAACTTACCTTCAATACATCTTGTGAGTGTTAAATTTTCTGGTCCCTCTTTTCTCATTATGTGTCCCAGAAATTCCATCTGACTCTTTCTGATTATAAGTAACTGCTGCTTTCTGGAAGCGACACCCAAGAGGATGCTTCTCTGGTTGCTACAATCTTAACCAGTTCAGGTCTAGGGTTAACCATTATCTTCCTTATAAACTGTGTCCCTTACTGTTATGGTAAATTACCCATACACAGATGAACTTTCCCTAGTTACAAATAAGAGCAGGTAATGCTTTTTAGAGAGTGTAGTTTCCAGCAGTCATCTCTGACAGTTCAGACTTAACATTCTTACTTGTTTGTAATATGATTGTATTACTGTTTTTCTGTTAATATATTGTTTACCTCATTTCTTCTCTTTGTATTTTTATTTCTGGCCATAAAATAATGCTTCTATACTGATTGAACATTCTGTAACACTAAAGGAAAACTACTACTTCATGAAAATACGGCTTGAAAAGATGCAGTATAAGGAACATAACTGGACTATATGTGGGATTATTTTTATTTTTTTATATTTCATCTTTAGATATCATCATGATTTCTCAGCCATTTTTCATTTTCTGTTCACGAAGTGTAAAAACAAAATTACACTCAAAACATAGTTGTAAGAAAAGAAAATACAAAAAACAGCCCTGATGTCTTCTGCTATATTTGTAGATGTTACTCTTTACCTAAACAGTGAAACAAAATCACAGATTGTGTTAAGAAAGCTTAGCTTACTTAATTTGGCATGAAACTGGGTGACAAAGACGAAGCCTAGACAGCCTATATAATGTGTAAAATGTGTTGAAGAGGACTGGAGTGTTTTTCATAGACATCTCAAAAGCTAGTCTTAAGCGTGTTTGTTTTATGGCAATTTACCCATTCACTGACAGACTCAGTTACAAATAAGAGCAGGAACTGCTTTTTAGAGAGTATAGTTTCCAGCAGTCAGCTCTGACAGTTCAGACTTAACATTCTTGCTCGTTTGTAATATGATTGTATTACTGTTTTTTGTTAATATATTTGTTAACTTAATTCCTCTCTTTGTGTCTTTATTTCTGGCCCCAACAAAGCCACAACACTTACTCTGTAACCCTCTACCTTGAGTGGCTTTTGAGCATTATACAGGATGAACTTTATTGTAAAAAAGTTTCCTTGTTCCTATTCTCCTTAAAACTTCCTCATTGCTCACATGTTCTGTCTACGGTATTTTTAGCATTTGTTAGTAGAACTGCATTTCTGTTGCTTCAAATGTCTGTGAGAAAACATAGCTGTTCAGTAGTCTTTCTTATTGCTTTTAATTATATTTTCTTATGTCTTAATACTTTGCTTTGTTTCTGGAAGGTCTTTTGCTATTCATATGTATCTTTGAATTTCTGTATCACATTTTCTCTTATCTGTTATGCTCTGTCAGCATTAAATTCTGTAGATTCTCATATGCTTCATTGTGTTCCAGAAATTTCAATTGTCTCTTTCTGATTGTAAATATAGGTTTCCTTGTTTGTTTGTATTTTCTTCATTGCTTTCATATTCTTTCCATTCTTAGTATTCATCATTTAGTAAATATCAACATCTCTTAAATAGATCTGAAACACATTGAATAAAATATATTCAAAATTATTGACCAATCAAGAACTTTCATCTTCAGCAATCAGCATTTCAATTATCAAAAAAGAATTGCCTATTTTTTCCATCCAATTAGAATCTTCCACATCATTACAAAAATCAGCATTTCACTCATTAACTCAAGACTGCACATTTTCCATATTAAAATTTCATTCATCCAATCTGCTTTTATTATTTTTTTATTAGCCAATCATCTTCTACCTTGAATATAATTTATCTTATTAGCATTAACCACATTTTGTAGATCAGTCCATATTTCATAATTGGAAACTCAACATTCATATTTTTCATAATTATTTTCCCTATCTTCTCATGTTTTTATTGCCAAACCATAATTTTCAGTACAGAACCAAACTTTTCATTTATCTTATCAGAAATTCCATTTTGTTTCAATTTTCCTTCTCCATTTATAATATTTTTAAGAATCTCTCAATTTTCATTTTCAAAAAGCAGATTTGTTATCCATTGTTTAATACCATGTCTTTTTAGAAAACAGGAAATCATGCCTCTCCATAGGTTCCATTTTCTTTAATTGTCTGTAAATTGCCATGGCTTCTCAGGAATTATAATGAAGTGGTTTACCTTCTCAATATTTTTGAATTCAGTTTTCCTTCTCTTAAAATAGTTGTCATTCAAGGCTAGAGAGTCAAGTCTACCCTGTTATTTAACCTAAAGTTGGTAGGTTCGTGCCTTTTCCAAAGGTATTTGTGCAAAAGTGAATACAACAGACTAATTTAGAATTTGAACTCTACTCACTGATTCCATTTTCTTACACTTGCATATCCTTCTTACCTATATGATTTTATTAACCAATTAACCTGTTTATTTTCTATTTTTTATTGACCAATCATTTCTTTTTTATGATTGATTTGTTTTTTTATGGCTTATCAGTTATTATCATATTATTTAAAACCAGAAAATATTTTAGATGATTTAGTGATACAAGTCCTACTAATTAATTCATAGCTGGGGGAGGGGGAATAAATGGATTCATACCTTTCCCAAGGGCATTTACTCATAAGTGAATATAATGAACCAAATCAGGAATTGGAACTTGGCTCTTGAATTTCTATTTCTGAGCTATTATCCATTAGACCACTTGCACATCCAAGCAGTCTGGTATTCCCAAACAATAACCCATCCAGATACTTGTCAGGCTCAATGTTACTTAACTTCAGTGATCATACGAGAACCAGTATTTCAATATGATATGGCTGCAAGCCAATTATTCCTTTGCATATGTATTTGGCCTACTGGCTAATAACAAAGAGAATGCAATCAGTTCCTTGGAAAAAAACAACTTACATTCATTTAGCACTAATTCTAGTGGGAAAGGCATGAACTCACTTCTTTCTGCCTGATATGAGTATTCCATTGCTAAAGGTGCTGGAAAAATAATTGGCTTGTTCTATCACTCCAGGAAGTATTCTGCCACTCTTCATCTTTATAAGTGTCAGATTAGACCCAAAATGGAGTATTATTACCATATCTGGACAAGAGCTGCTCAGCCCTCACCTTCTGGCCTTCATAGTTAAAAATCATTTATGTAGTCTTGTGGGGAAGAGTCATCATCCGTTCTACAGCCTTTTTCCTACAGATGCAACATTACAAGTCTTTTATTGGTCTATCATTATTTCAATGGTAAATGTTCAGATAAGCTCCATTCTTTAGTCCCATCAGTTTGGACCTTTACAGTGAGGACATGCCATGCTACATCCACAGAATCAAATCACCTTCATTTTCTTTGTATTTCAGTTGTGAGAGGAAGTTCCACTCAGAGCTTTTTTCTTGTGTGAATGCTTTTTGAACATTACAATCTTAACCTTCAAATCAAAGTTCATTTGTTATCTAGCCTCATAATCTTAATTCCTTCATGTCTCTTCTTTCATTCATATCACAATTCTTATTCATCACTTTAATAGTAACTCTTCCTTGAATGGCTCTCGAATTGGGTGAATCTTAATATTAAAAAAAACATACTCCATTAACCTACAGCTAAAATACTCCTCTTCTGTCTTCTTTGACTACGATAAAACGAAGTTGTCCGGGATTTTAACCATCCTAGCTGTTACTGCATGAAGTTGGAAGAAAAACCAAACTTTTGGCAAACTTCACAAATTTATTTGAGAAACAAAATCTGGAAAGCTACAAAATCATGAGTTTACAAAGTCATTGTGCTGTATGCCATTATTTTGTGGAGCTGAACCCTGGGTTATATACCAGTACCATCTTTGCCTATTCAAGCACTTTCATAGATGTTGTTGCCTCTGAATTATTCTCAGTGTACAGAGAAATGACTTCCTGTTGTGGAGATGAACACACCTCTCTAGATGAGGTCTTGGACTCATCCAAATACATAAATACAGACACCTAGAATCATCAGAAGAAGTATTAAACAAGTAGAGATATAGAGATCTAGCTTATCTGCTTACTATCTATTGGTCTGATTTTCATGGCAAATGTTCAGAAGAGCTTCATTCTTTAGTCTCATCATTTCAGACCTTTACAGTGAAGACATGCCATGCTACATCCACAGAGTCAAATCACCTTTATTTACTCCATATTCTAAATGTAAGGAGAAAATTCCACTCAGACAGCTTTTTCCTCAAAACTGACACTTTATAGAACAGACTCCTGTGTGGGTGCTTCCCTGAACACTACAATCTTAACATTTTAAAATCAGGGGCCAGTCACTATCTATCTTTCTTATACTTATTATCTTCAATCCTTGCCACCTCCTGTTTAATTCATATCACACACCTCATTTATCATTACCATTTTAACATCTCACTACTATCTCACTACTATGAGTGGTTCTTGGACCTTGTAGCAGGTGAATTTTAGTAAAAAAAATAGTAAAGTAGTCTGAGCTGTTTAAACTTTTAGGGCAGGTGTTACTTGAAACTGAAAATGCAACCCAGAACTCCACAAGGAGTCCACAAGTATAAACAAAGAAATCATTGTTTTTTTTACCAGATCATTCAACTTCAATTTAAAATAATTGAATCCATATGACATCAGCTTTACATCAAAACAAAATCCAGAATGGAGAATAAAATGAAGCAGGGAGAAGCCTTGCATATTTTGGATGATTGACAGGAACTGGTTTTCCTATAAACATTTCCCATCAACTTCAGGAGAAAGCTTGTCCTGCTCACAGTACATTTTACCCATGATTGTCAGGTTACATTTGTCATGAGGTTTTTGCAAATGAATGCTCACTGGACACAGCCTTGCTCTCCGATACCATTATTTCACTGTTTGTATTCATGCTATATTTCCTGTCATAATCTTTTTCTTCTTCTATGGACATGAACTACCAAGCTCTCCACAACCTCCTATCCTCTGTAATTCTAAGTAATGTTTATCCCCTTACTATAGATACCAGTACCTGTTCTAACATCCATTTACACCAGCTCATTAGATAGATTACTCACTTTTTCCCTCTTCCCCTGGTTCACCAAAGTTAAGCAACATAAAGCCTGGTCAGTATCTAGATAGGTGACCACTTGAGAATACCAGGTGCTGTAAGCTTGGATGTGTAGGTGGTGTAATGAATAATGGCTTAGAATTGTTAATCAGAGAGCCAAGTTCCAATTCCCTTTGCATTTGTTAGATTCAGTTACACATAAATACCCTTGGGAAAGGTATGAATCCACTTCTTCTTCCCCCAACTATGGGTTAATTAGTAAGCCTTGTATCCCTAAAATCATTATTATCTCAAAAAAGTTCTTACAATCTAAAAAATATTTGCAAAGTGTTCACGAGCCATAGAAAATGAATGAATCAATCAAACCTCTGCTTCTCTTTCTCTCATTATATCCTGTGAGTATCAAATTCTCCATGCAATCTTTCTTCATTATGAATGCCAGAAATTTAAACTGTCTCTTTCTGATTATAAGTAGAAATGTCCTTTTTGTTTCCATTTTCTTTAAAATTTTCTCATTACTTACATACCCCTTCTGTGGTATTCTCAGCATCCTTCTGTAGAACTGCATCTCTGTTGATACAAGTCTCCTCTTATATATATATATATGTGTGTGTGTGTGTGTGTGTGTGTGTGTGTAAATGGTTGACTCCTACTAGTTTCCAAACACACCTGTCTGCCAGAGTGGCTGGCCAATTTCAATCTATAGAGCACAGCTGTGGTTTATACTGCAAGTACGTTGAATGGACCATAGTTTCAATTTTTTGGAGAAAGCCCATAATCTGTCATAATCAGCAGTTTGAACAGTGTCTGTATGCTCAAAGCCTTGATCTTTGATGACTTGATTCTAGCACAACCATTGACAGCTTCCAAACAGTTCCATCTACCCAATTTCACTCACAATGCTTGGGTCAACCTGTGGCTTGGTGTGTACATGGCCTTATGATTGTGTTTATCATGACACAGACTGTTGCCTCTGGGTGTTGACTTCAATGTTCACTTTTATATTTACATACACTCTATACCTGATATTGAGCACTTTAACCCATAAATATAAAATACTTTATCATATATGTGTGTGTGTCTGTGCGTGTTTGTGTGTGTGTGTGAGTCTATAGCCTAATGATAAAAAAGATTCATTTTGCAAAACAAATAATTATTCTTCATAATAATCCTTTTCATTGTAAATGCACTTAATCACAGATCACATCTGAATATAAGAAAAAATATATTTATAAATCTATTTTCACATTTTTTTTCATATTTTTTGTATATATCAAAATGATTTATAACTTGAAAGCCTATTTTTTTGTTTTTAAATGTTATACTTAATTGAAAGAAGCCAAATTCTTCTTCTTTATTGATAATTCTCATCTCTTTTAATTTAAGATTTTAGTTTTTTTTTAAAGCTTGATAATTTTAATTCCTCTTAAAATAATACAATTACAAGTAATGCTCTTATTTAATTAGTTTTAGGTGATCGTAATTAATTTCATCTCTTTTTAAAAATAATCACTTCAAATTAGTAACAAGCAAACTTATCTAATTGAAAATTCTTTTACATGATTTAAATGGGAAATTTGAAATGCAAAGTGCTGATAGAAGTTTTTGAATTCGACAAAATATGTACTTGAAGTGAAAGCCTACAATAGCAGGTCGATTGATGAGTGTGCTTCAAGATGCTGCTTAGATTTGGCTAGAAGTAAATTTGACTTTGAATCTTGTTCAAGATGATAGAGAGAAGAAAAATGAAACAAATTTTATTTCTCATCTGGTGTAAATCTATTTGCAATTCTACAAATATAAAGTGACTGGCAAACTTGGACCTTTGTGTCCACAAAAAAAACAGAAGTGTCAAAAGAACAGATTTTTTACAACAAAAATATGAAACATTATTTATTTATTAGATTGTTTATTTACAAGAATAATTTTATATTTACAACATTTTAAAAACTTATAAAATTGTATTAAAACTAATGCAATGCAGTATTTATCATTTACCAATTTATAAAGAAATAAAAATGAAAACAAATTTGTTAAAAATAAATTTAAATATACATTTACTAAATTATTAAAGTACGTAAACCAACTATAAATAAATCATTATTTACCATTCTATAAAGTTTGAATCAATTTGCAATTAGCACATTTTGTCAACAATTCCAATAAACAATCTAATAAATAGTGTAAAGAAATAATCTAATAAATAGTGTTTATTATTTTTGTTGTAAATTCTCAAGAATAAAACAATTGTCAAGCATTTACTGTTATATAGAAGGACTAATATTACATAACAGTTCAGTACTCTTCTCTAACAAAATATTCCCATTTTTTGCTTAGCTTTTACTATTCCAATGTAGCTTCAGATTTCAGTGTCATACTTTCTGTCCTCTGTTAAAACACTTTGCAAACAAAATGATAATTTATTCAAATCTATGGGATAGCGTGTTAATAAAATATATGCTTCTATAACCAATATATTATAGATTTATTTGTGAAAATTTTCTACTGCCCTTTGTTTGTCTGACACCCCAATTAAACAATTTATCTGAACATACATGTCAATGTCACAAATATCAAGATGGCTATCACTCAAGACTTCCTTTATTTCCAAAATGAGGCTAAGTGGCATAACTCTATATACTAAATGAATTAACACATCAATATTTCTAATAAGGATAAATATTATAACCTGAAACTTACATGATCTATAGCTCATACACAATAAATATAAGTTTAATAATATACTATAACTTTCCCACCACCATAATATAGCTTCCCTGTGCCTTTTCTA